TCAACTTCATTAATTTCATTTGAGTACTAATACTCTTAGGAAAGGTCTGAGTCCATCTCTCTCTCCCAGCTATGAGTAAAATAGCAGAGTCGACAAGGTCTTTTAGCTTTGCTTGGTGACTAATCTAGGAGAATGAAAACTCTGAATTAAAGCCAACGTGTAGAGGGTTATGCTCCGTCAGGCTATCTTGCCAGAGACACACCGCAAGACCCTAATGTGTGACAAGACTCGTAATTGTGATCTTGATTTATTATGACTAAACAGGTACATGTTAATACTTCTAGTCAATTAAAATCAGACTCTATATATATATATATATATATATATATATATATATATATATATATATATCTGTCTTTCTCAACCAATGAAATTACTTGTTCAAAAATTGTTGCGCTTGATAATGCAGCTGAATAGAAAATTGCAGTACTTTCTAAAAATATCTGCAATAATTTTTATATTGTTTTTTCCTCTTTTGAGCATTTTGGTTAAAACAAGAAAAAAAAAACAGAAGAAAAAATAGACTGTAGAAAATTACCAGAATTTTCCCTGATAGGCATAAAAAGAGACTGATTATAAAAAAACTAAATAAAAATATCTTTTTCTCATTTTTTTTCTTAATTTGAACATCGTTCAATACAAAATTGATTTTTCGAAAAATACATTACTAAACTCGAATATATTTGGTCTTGGCTACCGTCCTCGACACAAGAGTAGGCTTTAATTTAGCCAGAGTTTGGATTTAATTCTTTGACGTGTTTATATAATCAAATTTAATATACACGCTATTCGCAATGTCATTACTGCCTGAAACATAAAAACAATATTAATTGCCGTCTGAAACATAAAAAACAACATTAATAAAACTATTAATATCTTTAAAAGATCTTTAATAATAACACATTATTATACAACAAACATTTACTTGCCACCTCTTCTATGTTTTTCGTAATGCCTGTTTTGAAATTGTCTAAAGAGTTTGTGTACATTGTGGTAAATGTTTTTGTCTTTTCCAATTGTGTTACGGATTTAATTAGTTTTTCTCTGAGTAATTTCATGATTAATCTTTGTTTGGCACAAGACAATTGTATTAACGTACTGAAGTCACCAATTTAGCGGAACTAGTTTACATGACGAATACATTAAATTTTGTTGTAAGATTGGTGCTTACTCTCTACATTTGATACATAACTAATTTCTATAGATTTTTTCAAATCTCTTCTCTTTTATATTTTATGAAAATATTTCATTGATTTGTTATAACTTTAGAAAATCTGTACAACTGATGAATTACTTCTTTCTATTTCATGTTAAAATATTTTAATTCTTAAAATTTTTAGATTATTTTTAAATATATTTTAGATTTCCTACAATTTTAGAAAATTTGTATTTTTATATATGAAAAAAATGTCTTCTTTCGATAGAATCTTTTTATATATTTTAATTTTTTTACTTTTTAAGACTGTCTGATTTTTTTTTTAAATATCTGTATCATTTTAGAAATGTGGAAATTTTACATCTGAAAAATTTCTTCTTGTCATAGAATTTTATTTAAATAATTCAATTATTACTATTTTTAAATTTTTTCAAAAAATCTCATTATTTTCTATATTTCTTTAAATTTTATATTCTTACATGTGCTTTTTTCCTTTGGATAGAACTTTTTTGAAAATGTAAGTTTTTACCATTTTCCATTTTTTTTTAAAAAATACTTGATGGATTTTTTTCATAATTTTTAAAAATTTCTTATTTCAAAGAATATTTTTAAATATTCGACTTTTTAGTTTAAAAGAGTTTCAAAAATATGTAAAGCATTCCATAAAATTCTACACATGTATTTTTACATCTGAAATTATTTTTCTTTCTATAGAATCTTTATCAATATGTAATTCTCTATTACTCCGAAATCATATTTTAAATATATCTTATCGGTGTTATATACTTTTGTATTTCCACACCTGAAAAAAAAATCTTCCTTCTATAGAATCAGTTTTAAATATTTAAATTTTTACCATGTTCAGATATTTTTTTAAATATCTAATAAATTAATTATACTTTCACAAAATTCTTTTTTATATTTGATAATTTACTTATGTCTTGAAAAAAGTTGGTCTTATTTATGTTTAATTGATTTCTTCTATCTACGGAAACTTTTAAATGTTTCAACTTCTTTCCTTTTACCATTTCTAAGATATCTGATGGAATTCTTAAATCTTCATAAGATTTGTTTTCTTTTTACATTTCACAGATTTCTTCTCTGAATACATCTTTTAAATATGGCTGATGCTAACCTCATTGCTCCTTCACGGACTAACATTTCCGACAACGGGAAGTGGAAAAATCACACTGAATCAATTTCTCGATCTGCTCTTAACATGTAGGTTCATTGTCTCGTGTAAGACATTTTCTCTTGCCAGAATCTACCTTACACATTTATAAATATGCCATTCGTCAAAGAATTGAATGTCGCTGTCACATCTGATCTTGTGCTTCTGCTGAATATTTATTCTTGATAACACCCAAAGAAGAATGTTATCGGCACTGACCTGTCATACTGGCTTCAGTCACATTTTCCATCCATCTAACGTAGTTTCATTGTAACTTTTTTTTATAAATATTTCCATAGTTTTTAAAATGTTCTGATGATCTTTACTTTTTGGTATTTAGATTTTACGAATTTAAAACTAGTACTAGATGGCAACAAGGTTTCATCCTTTTACAAGTGACATGGTTAGCTGACAGTTTCTGTGCTCACATTTATTCCTTGTGGAACTCTTTATCAGCTTCTTACTTTCCAGTCGTCTTTTATCTGCAAAAATTAAATGGCGGGTCAATCTTTATCTTCGGTCTTCTTAATTCCAGTTCTTTTACTGTTCTCTTTCCTTAATAATGTTTTCTTTTTCCCAGTAACCCGTTACGTCTTAGTGGCTTTATTTTCTTGATTGAAGAGAGTTCAATTTCTGTACTTTCTCTAATTCGTAGATCGTAAATTGGGCTATCCCATTCACTCGCATTTACTTTACATTTTATTCTCAGCATCCTTCTGTAGAATCACATGTCAATTACCTAAAGTCTCCATCTTTTCTATTTTTTAATACTTTGTTTAGCTTTGAGAAGACATTTTCTTTGGCGATAAGAAAACAGATTAGGAGACATATCAGAAAGACGAACGTTACTGAAAGCCAAATAGGACAAAATGTTTTGAAAAGCCACGGTCATCCACATCCTGAAGGGACACGGCACAAAGAGGAATATTTATCCACAAGCTCTTATAATTTTTGCTCTGAGGAATGTTTCATTTTTACCATCACGTTTTCTTCTTCATTTGATGACCTTTCTTTTAAACTCACTAAATGAGTAATACTCCCTTTGCTTGCATTCATAATCTTATGAGAGTTTCAGAATTTTCTAGACTTATCATGTATCCCTGAAATCTCAACTTTCTTCTTCTTCTAAGTATACCTTTTCTTGTGAATCATGTTTACCTTTAAGGTTCCTCGTTGCTCACATGTGTTGTCTATGGTATTCTAAGCATTCGTCAGTGAAACCTCGTCTTTTTCACTTTTATATCTATGAATATATTGTTTATTATTTAGCCATTGTAGAAGATTAGACATTATATTTACAGGTTCAGGGCATTTTTTCTTTGTTTTGCTTCTAGGGACTTTTGCGTATTTCTCAATATTCTGAATATATCATAAATTTTACAGGGTGCACACTACTTTTATCCAGAGGTGCACAGATCAATAAGCAGTGCGCTCAGATACAATGATTCATATATAAATAAATAACCCCCGAATTCTTTACTGTTGTCATTATCAATTATGCGTTGCGTTCATTCAAGACGTGGGCGATCATTGTTCTCTACAATTTCTTATCCCTTGTAGATTTAAGCAAATGGTGCCTAATATTGTGTAAGTTGTTTTTTCTCTGTGAAACAATATAAGAATGTACTATTCCTAAATTCCGCTGACCTGTCAAGAGGGATTAGAATCCACCGACTCTACCACTGACATGGAGTAAGACAACCACCTGCTATTAGGACTCCAGAGTAACGGAAAACAATGCGCCGTGTCCCTTAAGGACATAAGCGAGTGTGGCTCTCCATGATTACCTGTCGTTTGTAGCTCTTAATAACTGTTGTCTTGTTTTCCATCTCTCCCAAACACTAATGGGCCATCCATTTGCTCAAGCTTTCCAGCAAGGCTGTGCTTTGCTTTTCTCTTTACCGCTTAACTTCAATCCTTCCTGTGAGTATCAAATTTTCCAAGCCCTATTTTCTCATTATGAGTCCCAGATATTTCAACTTTCTCTTCCTGATGTTAACTATAAGTGTCCTTTTTGTTGCCATTATCTCTGGAACATTGTGGGTACTCTCATGTTCAGTCCCTGGTATTCTCAGCATCTTTCTGTAGAACCATATTTTGGTTGCTTAAAATCTCTTCTTCATCTGCCAGAAAATTGGTTAGCATTCGCTGCCATATAAGAGGACTGATACTCCATAACAGTTGAGTACTCTTTTCTTTAATTCTAACGATATTTTTCTATTACCTACTACTGTGACAATGGACTGCTCCTATATATAAATACGGCAAGTAGCCACAAGAGAATTTGGAATGCAGTTGATTTCTTCAAGTTTTTCCGTTCTCTGTATTTAGTATTTAATAAACAACTTCTTTGTTTTCCCTACAAAGTCTTCTGTTTCTTCGATATTCTCTCTAGCTACGCTTTTCCTAATTAACGTCTTGTTTGAATAAAGACAACACTACAACAGGGCCTATGCCTACTTTTTTGACTCCAGTGTAAACTGGACCTAGCTTTTTTTTTACTCGCGTACAAACCAGACCTATCTTTACGTTTTTGCATTTGATGTAAATGGAACCTATATCTGTCTATGTGTTTTGCCATTGGGGTAAACTGAACTCATGACTAAACTTTTGATCCCTGTGTAAATCAGACTTATGTCTAACTTTTTGAATCTCGTGTTAATTTTCCTTTAGTCATCTTTCTCTCTCTCTACATTTTTCTCTCCATGTTTCTTTCTCTCTCTCTCTCTCTCTCTCTCTCTCTCTTTCTCACTCTGTTTGATATATTATTCTTAATTTTCCTCTCTCTTCTTCTACTTCATTTCTCTCGCTCTATCTCTCTTCCTCTGTTTCGCTCTCTTTGTTCGCTACAATATTCTCAATTTTCTTTTGTCCTCTCTCTCTCTCTCTTCCTCTGTCTCTATATGTTATTTTCAGTCTTTTTTAACCCCCTCTTTCTCTCTCTTTTTTATATTCACGTTTTTATCCTTCTCTCTCTCTCTCTCTTTTTCTCTCTAACGCATACATACACACTCTCTTTGCCTTTTACTTCTCACTCCCATTTTACTCTCCTCTCTCACCTTCTTAATTTCTTTTTCTATTTTTGGTGTGATTATCTCGTATTTACCCTTATGTTTTCTTCCTTCCCACCTCTTATCTTCATCTGTTTTTAATTCTCTACCATTTTTTTTTATTTCTTTGTCTCTTTCTCCTCTTTTATTTTTCTCTCGCTTTCTTTCGTTTTTTCTTTCTTTCTTTCAATTTATCTTACTCCTTTTCCCAGTCGTCTTCCTCATTGTCTATTCTCGTCTTTTTTCCTCTCATTTTTATTTCTACTTTTTCTCACATTTTTTCTCTTTCGTTTTGTTCTAGTTTCTATCCATAATTCTCAGACCTTCCCATTTTATATCACATTATGAGGCTGTTAGTATCTTTTTAAAAATGATATATCCATGTCTTTTCTTTTTCTTTATCTCTGTTCCCTATAGCATTTTCTTCTCTTTCTGTCCCGTTCTCTACTCGCTTCCCACTCTCTATTATCTTTTTCTTCTCTAAGTAAGATTAATTATGACGATCACCAGCCGCCATTTTATATTAGCCACAGGCAATACGTGACAGCTTCTAGTTATTTAAAGAGAAATACCTCATTAAATCGCTAATTAACTAAATAAATTAAGAAATAAACTAATGAAGGAGTGGAATAAAGATATTGGCATGTTTGGAACCTATACACATGTTTTCTCTTGATATAAAGAAGAAAATAAATTTTACTGAAAGGTCAAATTAATACGAAAATTAAACAAACAATTCGAAAATAAAACAGAAGTGTACGAAAATACGTTTTTCTCTTATACGTCGCCCCTATATTTTAGGCATTTAATGATTTGTTGATTTCGTTCAGGGAAGATACCGAAAAACACTTTAGAATACAACGGTTTCTCATTGTAAATTTCTCAGAGCGTTAATATAATAAAACTAAAAGCCAGTATAATGGGAGAGCTATTGGTAAAATGGTTTATTCTCTCATTTCCGTTTCCCTTGTTTTGGGCATTATTATATCCATCATACACCGTATTTCACGGAAGGAAGGGAATTGCTGAAAGGAAAAGGATGACAAATATGCTTCGTTCTCAGGGATATTATTATACTACTAAGACTATATATACATATTTACACGTGCCTTACGCAAATAATATATCATATATCAACACAGTCAAGCAGAGCGAAAGGAGAGGGAAAATATGAGGTCTTACATATGGAGATTGTTCTGTGTTTCTGGAGAAGCCATGTTTAGTATTCCAGACTCAATCTTGTTAGAAAAACATGCGTCCTCCTGTAGGATCTGAATCTGCGTCCACTAGGGGAAACCGTCATAAGATTTAACGTGCATTAAACCACTTCGGACACGTGATGACCTTCTGATTAAACAAAGCGCGAATAATGCTTTTGAACACATATCTTCCCGATTCTCAAAGTAACCATATCTGTTTATTTTGAAGTTCTAATTTAAACAAAAACATTTTTTAAAAATGGATTAAATCCGATGGATTTTTAATTTATTTGTTTAAATGTTATTTTTTAAATGGATACTCATTGTTTTTATTCAAAAACACTACTTGGGCATTGCTTGATCAGAAGGTCCAACGTGGCTGAGCTGGTCTATAGCAAATCAGATCTAATGAATGTTGCCTTTAGGGGACGGAGGTTCGAATCCTGCCATGAGGACACACATTTTTATAAAACGATTTCTCAAATATTAAGCCAGTAGATGTAAATAAATTAATAAATATAATGTATAATAAATAAAAAAAACAGAGCATCTACTCAAATATGAGTATCCATTTAAAAATAACGGTTAAACAAATAAATTAGTTTTTTATATATATATATATATATATATATATATATATATATATATATATATATATATATATTGTTGCTAGTATCAACACTTTTGCTGAGATATTTATGCTGCTGATAATTTGACCGGAAATAATTTTGGTGGTCTCGTGTGAATCGACGGAAAAATAAAACATAGAATTTAAAAAATAAATATTATCAAATATATTGATAGATAATTTTGCAAAAGGAAAAATGAGAAATTATATTAAATGAAAAGCGTTCAAAGAAACCTTCAGTAACTGTAGTTGAGGTACTTATATGTAAGCGGCAGCGAAAATAATATGTCTATTCGCTATGAAAAGTCACAGAGAATGAGATAGATTCTTTCAAATCTCACGCCGCCTGTAACTATCGTCGGGGTGCAGTAATCCAACAATTTATATAGGATAACGATATGTTATGGTCCGGTTCCTTGTATCACGGTGATAGTCCAAGGTAGAACCAATAAAGAAGAACTCGAATACGGATATGGAATAACACAGATATATTACAAACAGGAATATATACAGAGAAGTAGAAAGTGTTAGTACGAACAATCAGGTTTAGTAGTAATTGTCTGAACGCGACTCTGTTTCGGACTGCCTCTGACTCGACTGACTGACTCGCTCTGACTGACTGACAGACTCCTGACTCCAGACTTCAAACTGAACTCCCTGCTTCCTCTTAAGGCGCAGTATTTATTACGTATGGAATAGTACATTATGTTATTATGGGTAAGGTCCCCTAACACGATATATCCATTTTTATTTTTGATATTGGTTAATGGTTATTGGTTAATAGTTATGGGTCGAGTTAAGTTAAGTGTTAGCAGAACAAACAAAATCGGTTTTGGATTCATATTTGCCAACCAAGGCTACTCTGTCCAGATGTTATTCCCAAGCTGATGAAGAGAAGTCATACTTTTCCAAGATGTAAGGATCTTGTCTAGAATTTGACTCTTAAATTCCAATTTTCGCGTAGATGGCCGTGACGCTGAGAACACTTACCAATAAACACGTGCGTTTGTATGAAACTAAACTATCGTGCAAACAAAGATCCGTGACTGTTATTGATTCTATCGCAAACAGAGAACTTTTCCAAATAAAAATAGATATCACTTGAAGACATCCATCAGTAAAAACAACTAACATTGATAATACGCGTAAGTATAAGAGAAAATAATAAGATAATTAAGACGTTGACTTTCAACAATGTCTAAAGCAAAAAGTTAGGAAGGAAACACCTATCAGAAATAATTTTTCTTATATCGAAAACTTTTCAATTTCTTTTTGTCTATATTTCTAAGATGAAGTATTGTAACTATTTACATCATTCGGATTGGTGTCCTCATATATATTGCCATATCCACGACTTTAGGACCGATGTATACTCCGGCATTCTTCCGGTGATATACGGTGGATTTTCGAACCAAATCCTTTATTTATTCCACTGGGGTAGATTGTTCTTATTCCATATGCAATGCCTTTTTTTGGATATCTTAGTTTCAGTTATTTCCCTTTAGTAACTCAACTCTACAAGTTTCTGCTGTGGCCAGGTATTGAACTCACAACCCTTTGGTTCAAGTCATTTTTTGGATAGCACAACCGACGCTTTTTATCCACTGTATCGACGTATTCTATGGTTCGCTTCGAAATTCCAATGTATAACCCCACTGGGGAAGTCCAGAGTGTACAACGGCCGAAACATCGTGAATATGGAAATAAAGATGACGACAACAGTCCGAATGATATAAATCGTGTAAATACTCTTTCTTTCTTTTTCTTTATCATTAAAATCTTCTGCTTTTCACCATCGCTATTTACTTCCGACAGAAAAGTACGTATAAGAAAAATAACTATACAGACATTATTAATATTTTTTTAAGTCAATGCCGTCATATTTCTTTATAAATAAGAACAGTTTTAGAGTTAACAAATGAAGAATAAAAAAAAACAGTAGGAAAGACAAGGAGAGAGATAGAAAAAAAACCTAACGCTGTTGTAAAAAATAAGACGCCATTGGCTTTCTGCAAAAACTGTATTTCCGGTCCTCATTACACGGCCTTTGGCGTTGCGTTTGAACAGACGGAAATGAATCAAAGACAAAGAGAAAATCATGGAAAACAATTTATATGCTCACAAAGCCTCGAGCCATAGAGCTTATTTTATTGTTGTGTGTTGATTGTTTTTCAGCTATTCCCCAGACTGAAGTTAATTTTTACTGAATACATTTAAAATAATCCTAGCTTGTTGTAAGTTTATTCCTTGTTGGGAAAGATATTAAAATAATCCATAAGTTATACTATGAGCAAACCATCTGCATACAGATAGAAATTGAAACCAGTAAATATACAAAAAAGATACAAAGCTGTTTAATACAAATGTATATCTTCTCACCGAACATAGTCAATATTTACAGTAAGAGGATTAGAGGACATAGCGTCTTTCATTATTGGCGGCCACAATCTTAACAACATTAGATAGGCAGACGACAGTATTGATAGCAGACACAGAATGGGTATGACGGGAAGGCCTACGGAAGATAATAAAGGAAAGCGAGAAGAAAGGACTAAACATCAATTGCAAGAAGGCAGAATGTATGCATGCCAACAAAAGATGTGAAGCAAGAATTTGAGAAATCAAAATCAAGCATTTACCAAAACATAAATATCTAGAAAATATTTTAACAGAGAACAGAAGATAGACACCGAAGCAAGAAGTTGCAATAAGATAGGTAAAATGCTCTCCAAAAACTAAAGAAAGTAGTAAAAAATAGAAAAGATTCGTCAAAACCAAGAATATAGTACTGAAATTTTTATGCAATGCTGGTTCTCCTACACGATAGTGAATAATGGAGACCAATCAAAAAAATACGCTTGATTCTACAGTAGGATGATGAGAATATCATAGCTTGAACATGTGCGTAACGAGGACGTTTTAGGGTAAAGAGAAACTAAAAGTAGATTTATACTTAGAATCAGAAAGAGACAACCGGAATTACTCGGGCATATTACGAAGAAAGAGGGTTTGGAGAATTTGATACTCACAGGACTTTCTAAAAACCAACCAAAATTAAAGTAGTGAAAAATTTAACAAACTTTTACTTAAATGGTTGGTAAAACAGAGATAAAGAGGATTATCAAAATTAAAACCTGAAAGTTACAAATTACAGGAGATCATGGAGAGCCATGATCACGCAAGTCCTGCAGGGACACCACATATAAAAAAGAAGAATAGACAACACTTGAGTTAAACCAGTGGTTCTCAACTTTTTTTTTTTTACCAGTGGACCGCTTTTACTCTTTATTTTTTGTGGGTGCCCGTGAACATTCTATGAAAAAAATATTTTAATTCTTTACTAATAGATAAGTTTAGGAATTGTATTATAGAAATAGTAAATGTATAAGCTGTATTTAGAAGTAAAACTAATTTAATGCAAATAAACTTGCCAGAGAAAAGCAATGATAACAACAAAGTTGCAATATGAGCTCTGGTAAAAACATGGTGATAACAGCAAAATTGCAATATGAGCACTGGTAAAAATGGTTGCTGAAGACATTAGGTTTATAATACCCAGAAATTCATACCCAGATGTCCTAAGCACAGTGGATAAAGGCGTTGGTTAGATCCAGTGACAGAACCCAAAGAGTGTGAGTTCAATACCCGGTTAAGGAAGTGGAGAACTTTCAGAGGGAAATTAACAGGAGAATAACTGATAACTGACAGCCATCAAACATGGCACGTGGAACTAGAACAGTCTACCAGTGAGTGAAATAAAGGGTTCAGTTCGAACTACCTGAAGAAGGCCGGAGCTTACAACGGCCGAAACGTTTTTTTAAATATGGCGACAAAGATGAGGACAATAGTCCGAATAATGTAAATAATGTTCATAATACCTCATCTCAGAAATATAGACAGACTCTGAAAATAAACTTGTATTTAACAAGTAAATTCTATGGACCATTTATGTACACTAGTAAAATAACTGATAATAAACCATTTTAAAATATGTAATTAATTTTTTTTGGAAAAAGTGCAGATTTATTGAATGAGATCCCTGCACTGCGAGTTTGCTTTTTATATTTAGTTCCATCGATGTCAATGATAGTCGAAGATTATCCTTTTTCACAATGTCGATTCTATTACGTGCTTTTAATAGTAAATGAGACACACAACTAAAACCTAATTGAACAAGGTAAGATGATGGAAAGCCAATAGCATAGAGCTTTGCTGTAGTGAATATTTTCAACTGTATCATTTCTTTACCACATATTATGTTTCTTCCATCTTTTTTTTGTGTGTACCCCAGCAATGTTACATGGACACCCCGAGGTTTCATATGGCCACTGTTGAGAACAGCTGAGTCAACCAATATCGAAAATGAGTATTCGGTAAATTTGAGAAATGTACCAAAGTTTTACCGAAGACATAACTCAGATTAATTATCGAAATTTATAGAAAAACAATAATAGGCTTCAAACTAGAACTAAAAGTTAATAATTCCATCTGACTTGTCATTGGTTAGAAATAGATTTTATTGATTTTTTTTAGGGCTCTGATTGGTTAAAAACATAGATATTTCACAATTCAATTTTCGGTCTATTTGGAGCGTCCTCTTGCACGCAAAAATAATAACTTCTTTTCTGATTTGTAAAACGCCCGTTACAGGATGCACGCTGTCCATTGAGTGAGGGTTATCGGGCGTCCTAATGAAATACGCCATAGTCTTTAATGTTCTCACTGACTGAAGGGAAATCCTCATCCGTTATCTGTCAGGATAGAAGTAACAGAAGTTGATGCAAGTGTCATGTATCTACCAACCCACACCATTCAAGTGAGCCTTTCTCTTTTACTATAAGATCTGTTGAAACAGCTTCTATCGGACACGCCATTTTTGTTTTACTCTCTTTCTATACAAGAATGTCATTTGCTCTTCTGGGTAGAATTGGTTGATTTGTTTCCCTCTCAATGACCCCTAAGTTTTTATGCGCTTTCTATTCTGTGATTCGTGAATATTTATTATTATTATTATTATTATTATTATTATTATTATTATTTTCTTTGATTTCTGGCGTTTACACATTTCTTTCCGGGTCCCGCCCAATGACCTAAGGTTAGAAATGGTATCATGACACTTTCCACTGACAAAAAAAAAAAAAAAAAAAAAAAAACTTACATAGATAAAGCCCTTCGTGTGGGCTGTACTTATCAGAACAATTTTTTGTATCTCCTTGAGGCATGGACTTCCAGGAATCCCTTCAATTAGTCTACTGCAATCTTTTCCGACCAGTTCTAGGGCTCCAATTACAACAGGAATTGTTGATGTTCCCATATGCCACATTTTTGAGATTTCTATTTCAAGGTCTTATTATTATTATTATTATTATTATTATTATTATTATTTTATTTTATTTTGATTTCTGGTATATACTGATACCTTTCCGGACATGACATCATGTCATTTTTCACTGAGAATTTTTTGAGGAGAAACCCTGAGACCACGTACATTTTATAATAGATAAAGCTCTTCTTAAGGTTTGTGCTGTACTTGTAAGTACAATATTTTGTATTTATTTAGGGTTTGTAATCCCTTGAATGAGTTTATCGGAACATTTCTCAATGAATCCGAGGGCTCGAAATTTGTTAAGCTTAAATTATTCTGTGTTTACCTCTCGAGTTGGAA